TTTCCTTTATGAGAAGTGAATCACACGTTCACCTGAACTGGCATCCCGACTGTGTATTTCCTAAGTGACAGGATGAGGGGAAGCACATGATAAATATCTGTGGTGTTCTGGCATCTATGCCTCTGATGTTTCGAGTTTAAATACTCTGTAGCTTTCACTGTCAGCCTTGACATTGGTTCTCAGGTTATGATTTGCTCCACTGTTTAATGGTCCCTTTTATCCTTATCAGCCCAACATGTCCACATTAACATCCATACTTTTCTATTTTAGTTATAGGCATTTGAAACCATCTTACTTTTGAAATATCAACTTTGTGATTTAGGGATCTGGTATTCATATTTTGCTCAGTATATTTCCATTACGTGGCTGTCCTAGGCAATGAAAAGGAGATGCCAAAAAGAACCCTCAAAATCTTAAGTAATTATTTTCTGAGCCAGGCCTGAGGACGCAGCTTGATACTAACACTGCATGAATGTTTGGTTGGCTCTGTCATATCTACATATAATTGATGACATGTTCCCTTTGCTTTGTAGGGCCTCCTGAATAACATCCTTCCTTGAAGGTAATTATATATATTTATTTTTAATTACTAACTTTATATTGTATAACATATATATGATTTATTAGTTATTTTCTTTTAAAACCCATTCAGTGTACCACTCAAATGGAAGATCCTGTTGTGAGAGAAACAATACAAAGAGAATATAGAGACATCAAGAGCAGGTACATTTTCAATACAAATGGAATGCTGGAAATAAGTACATTCAATGATTGGAAGTACTCACATTCTTCTTACCGCTAATTCTTTTTATTCTAAATTGAATGGAAGACATTGACATAAATGTTATTGTTGGTATCCATATTTTAATAAAAATAAATTTAGAAGTATAAGAAAACAGTATTTTTAAATGTGAGTTTTAACTCAGATGGTTTCTATTTTAATGTTTTAAATAGCATAACATTTCCAATATAACATTTTATAACTTTGAATCAGGGTTTCAAAGCAGTGAATTTTGAGACTCTGAGATATTTCCAGTGTCTTGTATGCTAGTTGAGTTCTGGTATTTACCTACAGGAATGCTTTACTTAGATATCAGTTTCTGTATTAACGTTACAGACTTCCTGTTAATGTTATTACACTGATGATCTGAAGGCAATGAGGTGTTCTAACGAGCAGATTGTGTATGCATGTGTGTGTATGGGTGTGTTTGTGGCATCTTTGGTTATTAAAAACTAGGAAAGTAATCATTCATAACTGAAAGACAGTCTTTTAAAATGATGATTTTGAGATTATTTGGTATAAAAGTTTTTTTAAAAAAATAATTGCATAGAGGTGACCAATATCATGAACATCACTGAGGCGACCAACATCATTGGCTGTTTTCCATTTCAATACCTTTTTGAAATCCTTAACTATATTTTGATGCTCGGAAATAATATGCAGAATTTTTATTTGTGTCCTAAAATGAGAGTGGTTCTACACTTTACATGTCTTTCTGCCACTTTCTTTTGTGTACTTTGTATTCTATTTTCCAGATGTATCCACATTAATACGATTAGCTCTGCTTTAATTCATTTTACACTTTTCATTGTATTCCCTTATACCACTCTACAACATTTGATTAGACACTCCTGTTGCTGGTAAATGAAGAAAGAATAAAAAGAAAAATACGCTGAGCGTGGTGGCTCACACCTGTAATCCCAGCACTTTAGGATGCTGAGGCGGGTGAATCACGCGGTCAGGAGATGGAGACCATCCTGACCAACATGGATAAACCCCATCTCTATTAAAATATAAAAAATTAGCTGGATGTGGTGGCGCGTGCCTGTAGTCCCAGCTATTCAGGAGTCTGAGACACAGAAATGGCTTGAACCCAGGAGGCGGAGGTGGCAGTGAGCCAAAATTGTGCCACTGCACTCCAGTCTCACAGCAGAGCAAGACTCTGTCCCAAACAAAAAAAGAAAAGGAAAAATAATGTCAGATTAAAAGGGGCTTTTCTTTAATCAGTTTGTAACTTGACTATTTACTATATGAGAGTTTAAGGCTGAGAAGTTCAGAATGCAAGCATGCACCACCATATTTAACAAATGCCCTTAGAATTATGACTCAGGAGCCTTTAGCCTATGAAGTTATGACAATTCATTTCTCTAATGAAGTTTACTGTTCTCAAAAAAAAAAAAAAAAAAAAGACTGAAAATAGCAAATGACATTGTCTTATTTGACCTTGAACATCCTGGAATGAAACTGCAACTGACTTATGTCAAAAGTCAGAACCAACGTTTTGAACAATGTATATATACTTTGTGAATGAACCCTTGATGAAATGGCCTTTCAAGTTTTACTTTTGCATTTTTTTGCTCTCTTTCTTGACTTGTCTTACAAAAGCTTAAATTCAACAGTTTTATTTCTACAGAAAGCAGAAATAAGTTTTCTAACATATTTCTGTCCTGTCTCATGGCATTGTGAGCTCTTCAGATCTAGTGTGGACCTAGACTTATTTTTACACGGGAACAATGAGGTTTGTTTCTTTGTTGTGGTGGTGGTTTTTGTTGAGACAGTCTTGGTCTGTGATGTGGTTAAGAGTGGATAAGCTCTTAAAGCAGTAATCTTTCTAGCGGCTTTTCTGTGGGAGGTAAAATGGCAGGTGAATTTGAACCTTGTTATTACAAACAAGATTTTATTGTGCTTCTCAGTAGGGCAGAGCACATAGCTACAACTACGTAAAACACCCAGCACCTTCCCCAAGGGTATTGGCCAGAGTAACACATTAATATTTCTTGAGCTCTTCTCCACTGGCAGCTGGAAAGTTTTTGCAAGAATTCCTGTTTCTGGTCTGATTCCTATGTTTTGCTGACTTCTGGTGATAGGGTGTTTTATCCTAAGCTGAACAGTTTTAACTGAAGAGCTAGAGAGAATGTGTTGTGTTACAACAAAGTGCGTGCAGTAGTTCCCCCTTACCTGTGGGAGATACATTCAAAGTCCCCCAGTGAATGCCTGAAAGCACATATAGTAATGAATGTTTTTTTCCCTATACTTACATATCTATGATAAAGTTTAATTTATAAATTAGGCACAGTAAGAAATAAACATTTAAAAATAAAATGGCAAATTATAGTAATATGCTGTAATAAAAGTTATTTGTGATGCTGTGAAGTGACACAATGCCCGTGTAATGAGATAAAGTGAGGTGAACGATGTATGCATTGTCACGTAGTGTTAGGCCACTATTCACCCCGACTCTAAGTCAGAAGAGCTCATGATTTTATTGTGCTTCTCAGACTGGCACACTAACACTTATGACTTGTTTATTTCTAGAGTTTTTAATGTAATATGTTTAGAATACAGTTAACTGTTAGTAGCTATAACCACATAATTCGAAACTGCAGATGTAAAATCTGTGTTTGGACTTTGACTCATTTCTTGGTGTACAGTTCTTAAACTCCTTAGAATTTCCAAAGTGATGCTTTTGGTATGCTAACGATTGCTGGCTGGAAGCTCCTAGGTAGATTCAGGATGGGAACAGGTCACTATCCTGAACACATAACTGATTAGAGGGTTGAGATCTTCTGTCTCACTCTGCAAACTCTGGAGGATAGAAGGGCTGAAAGTTGTCAGTCACCAACAGCCAGTGATTAATTAGTGATGCCTATGTATTGACGCTTTCATAAAGACCCAAAGGGACTGGGCTTGGAGAGCTTCCAGATCACTGAATACATGGTTCCTGGAGAGTGCTATGTCCTCAGAGGGCATGGAAATCTCTGCCACTAGCCCCATATTTTGCACTATGCTTCTGTTCATCTGTACCTTTTGTAATATCATTCATAGTATACTGGTAAGTGTGGTTCCATATACTGGTAAGTTTCCCTGAGTACTTTGAGCCATTCCAGCAATTCAATTTAACCCAAAGAGGAAGTCCTGGGAACCAGAATTTGAAGCCAATTGGTCAGAAGTTATGGAGTTTCAAAACTGATGTAGGGAGGCAGTCTCATGGGACTGAGCCCTTTACCTGTGGAATCTGATGCCATCTGCAGAGTGTGAGAACTGAATTAGATGACACCCAGTTTGTGTCGTCTGCTTGACGTCTGTTTTCCCCACCAACAAGCAAGAAGTGACTGCTTGCTTGTTGGTGGGGAAAACCTCTCCACACGTTTGGTCACAAAAGCCTTCTTTGTTGATTGTTGCTGTGGTGTGAGAGCAGAGAAAAACACGGCAAATGTCTTTCCACACATACAGTGGGTAAGAGGTGCTACTGTTTACTGTTTTAACTGACCCCCTCATATTTTGGTCCAGAAATCATGCTGTTTGACACTGGTCACTCATTCCATCTGTTCTGCTGACCAACCATTTTTAGCCAATTTCATCTGGTTTGCCTGGGATGACTTGTATACTGCAGTTCACTTGTAGATATCAAATTCTGATAAATTTATTCTTCTTTGCATTTAATAAATACAAAGTAAGAGAAGTAAGAGTTCTTACTGCATTAATTACACACCAATAGGTATAATTTAATTCTAATAATGTCCCAGGTATGCTCCCAAAGGAATACTTTGGAACAAAGCATCAATCCTAAACTTTAAAGAAAAATAATCTAAATCATGTAAACAACTGTGCATGTGTTTTGTTTTGAGACGGAGTCTTGCTCTTGTTACCCAGGCTGGAGTGCAATGGCGCGATCTCGGCTCACCACAACCTCCGCCTCCTGGGTTCAGGCAATTCTCCTGCTTCAGCCTCCCAAGTAGCTGGGACTACAGGCACGCACCACCATGCCCAGCTAATTTTTTGTATCTTTAGTAAAGACGGGGTTTCACCATGTTGACCAGGATGGTCTCAATCTCTTCATCTCGTGATCCACCCGCCTCAGCCTCCCAAAGTGTTTTTTGTTTTTTTAAATGAAGTTAGAGTCTTGCTATGTTTCCTGAACTGGTTTCAAACTTCTGGGTTTCTCAAGTGATCCTCCTTCCTCAGCCTCCCAAGTAGTTGAAATGACAGGCATGCATCATTGTGCTTTCTTATGGTTTTAATATTCTATACATTATTAATTTACAATGCATTTTACCTTTTCCTTTAATAGATTGTGGGAGTTCTGATGAATCTGCAGTCAGGTAGGATTTTACAGATTTTAAAAATTATGTTAACTAAGAAAATAAAGATGGAAGAAACTATTATCTATTCAGTGTTGTATTCTAGGCTAAATACTCTATTATGTGCTATGCATTTATCTCATAAAGCCATCACAATGTCTGTTTTCTTATAATCTACTGTTTATTAAAGAGGCAACTGTGATTTAGAGGCTGATTAACTGGATCACGATCCCATAGTTCACGAAGTAGCTGACCCACAGTTTGACTGTCAGCCTATCTGGCTTTGAAATCTTTTCTCTTGCTCCTCAGTATGGATTGATAGAGCTATCTGTGCAGCACTTAGATCAAGGTATAGGTCTGAATAAGATTAGTCAGATTAATTATTTTAATGTCTAAATTAATAAGTTTAAGTTAAACTCTCATTTTAGGTTACTGTTAGAAATGAGGTTAGTCCTTGAGTTTGTCCTAATAAACCTGACAATTGTTGTGGTAACCAGCATCTTTTTTTTTTTTTTTTAATTAACCATCAAAGCCTTTTCGCACAGTAAAGGTTTGGCCATAGGACTGGAAGTTACACAAAACCAAGATCTGGCAAGTCTTGGAGAGAAATTATTTCACTTCCCAGTTTTGTTTTTCCTGTAGGCTGATATTTCTGCCTACTTCCAAAATGCTTTTTTATTTTTGTTTTTCTTTTTCCATGACTTTTCTTCCTTGGTGTTTCTTTGGTTTTCCAATTCTGCTGGCTATGTATTCCCAGTTTTCCTGTAGACAGAACAAAAGCATACAGAATTACAGAAACTTAAGGAATCTTAGAACAAATGACAATATCTCTAGTACTTCAATCTGTGTTGAATGTTCTGGTCAAATGATTTTCTAAGATAGAGAACTTGAGACTCGAAGAGATTAGGATGCTTTTTTTTTTGATATAAGACGTGGTAGAAATGAGATTTGAACTCATTTGAAAGCCCAATACTCTTCCTTCTTGTTTTATTCTATTGGCATTTTGTTGTTGTTGTTGTTGTTGTTGTTGTTGTTGTTGTTGTTGTTGTTAGAGAGTTTCGCCCCTGTTGCCAGACTGGAGTGCAATAGCACAATTTCGGCTCACTGCAACCTTCGCCTCCTGGGTTCAAGTGATTCTCCTGCCTCAGCCTCCTATCTGGGATTACAAGCATGTGCCACCATGCCCGGATAATTTTGTATCTTTAGTAGAGATGGAATTTCTCCATATTGGTGAGGCCGATCTCGAATTCCTGACCTCAGGTGATCTGCCCGCCTCAGCCTCCCAATGTGCTGGGATTACAGGTTTAAGTCACCACACCTGGCCTGGCATGTGTTTGAATAATACAAAGTGGGAGTGAATTTGGTGCACCCAGTGGATAGACTGAGAATGGAATTAGCTGGTGAACCCAATGGAAATGGCTAAGAATGGAATGAGCAGGGGAAGGCCAAGTTTGAAGAGAAAGGACACTGGATACAGATTATTCAATAAGACATTAGAATGTTGGGGTTTATGACAAGTCTGATAAATTATAAAGATGAAGGACACAAGCTACAAAGACACATTAAAATAGAGGTTTCAAGGAAGCTCTGCTGTATTTGAAATGTGTGAGAGCTAAATATACAAACGTCTAATAATGAAGGGGATTCTCTGCACTCTTTTAGGACAAAGGAAAGTATTGGGACCTTCTTAAGTGGTTTTCATGCTGAGGAATCAAGACTGCCATTTTGAAGTGACACAGATTAGTCTTTTAACCAGAGATAGATAATGGAAAAGAGACAATGGATCTTTCTACCTTGTTGTAGGTCATAATGTTCCTTCCAGTTTAGGTGACAAAAGTTTTATCATCCATTAACTGAATTTCATGTTCTGCTTCAGGACAGATAATTTATAGGGTAAATTATTGTCAAGTTCTGCCAATATACTGGCTGTCACTATTATGGAGCTCAAGGTCAGTTTTCATTTAATATTTTATAGATTTAGACAGCTGGAGGCAGAAATAGGTAACCAAAATCTATTTTTAGAACAGAGGCCATATTTTAATTGTATCAAGAAATGTTATTTAATATTACAGATGGCTGACCTTTTCCCAGATTGTGTTTTGTTTATTGGAGGGGGAAGCTGAATATGAACTGGCAGTTAAAATATTTGTTTTAAAAAAAAAATCAACTTGCTGATTTTTATTGTATATTTTTGCTCTAAAGCATTTTCCAAGAAACTGTGTGTGGACTCATGCCCAAACCCGATGATGAAGACTTGACTGCTACTACCAAGGTAAAGTGGTCTCTTGCAAAACTTTCTCTGAGTCAACTTTTGCATAGTATTTACGTTTTTAAAATTTAGCAGTGGTTTACCTATTATTGCTTTATAATGGTTATGGAAAGTTGGTCAGAAAAAACCATAGACATATGGCTAGTTGATTAAACATTTTTATTTAATGTTGGTAGCCAACAAAAGATTGGTAAGTACTGTAACAGGGTGGGAATTGAACAAAAATGAACGCTAGTTGATTAAACATTTTTATTTAATGTTGGTAGCTAACAAAAGATTGGTAAGTACTGTAACAGGGTGGGAATTGAACAAAAATGAACTGGAAGATGCGCAGCAACAGAAACAATCACCTTGGGAAATGCTTTCCCCAATGGAGAAAACATGCAATTTTGTTAAGCTTTAATTAGATAAATATTAATACTTTGACTTTTAAATCATGTTAGTGTGACATCTATGTTTTTGCCAGTATCAATCTTCAGTGGATCAAATTACTTGTGGTAAAGAATCTCCCTGGCACCTTTTAGTTGAAAAACTGTACCACAAATAGCATATAGCTGTTTTTCTTGGACACTTATTATTTGGATATTATATACCCTGTAGGAGAGATTGTTCCTCTACTTATTTTATTGGTTCTGTAGTGAGACTAAGATATTAAAACTTGTATGAAAAATAGCTGGGTGTGGTGACATACACTTCTAGTCCCAGCTACTTGGGAGTTTGAGAACCACATGGGCAGCATAGCAAGACTGCATCTGATTTACTTATTTATTTTTAAGAATTATACTAAGTTCTGGGGTACACATGCAGAACGTGCAGGTTTGTTACATAGGTATACACGTCCTATTCGAGTTTGCTGCATCCATCCCCCGTCATCCACATTAGGCATTTCTCCTAATGTTAACCCTGCCCAATCCCTCCACCCCCTGCTATCCCTCCCTTATCTCCCTCTCCTCCCAACAGGCCCTGGTGTGTGATGTTCCCCTCCCTGTGTTCTTATTGTTCAACACTCACTTATGAGTGAGAACATGCAGTGTTTGGTTTTCTAAGAATGATGGTTTCCAGTTTCATCCATGTCCCTGCAAAGGACATGATTTTTTTTTTTTTTTTTTTTTTTGACGGAGTTTCGCTCTTGTTACCCAGGCTGGAGTGCAATGGCGCGATCTCAGCTCACCACAACCTCCACCTCCTGGGTTCAGGCAATTCTCCTGCCTCAGCCTCCTGAGTAGCCGGGATTAAAGGCATGCGCCACCATGCCCAGCTAATTTTTTGTATTTTTAGTAGAGACGGGGTTTCACCATGTTGACCAGGATGGTCTTGATCTCGTGATCCACCCGCCTCGGCCTCCCAAAGTGCTGGGATTACAGGCGTGAGCCACCGCGCCAGGCAAACTCATCATTTTTTATGGCTGCATAGTATTCCATGGTGCATATATGCCACATTTTCTTTAGCCAGTCTATCATTGATGGGCATTTGGGTTGGTTCCAGGTCTTTGCTATTGTAAACATTGCTGTAATAGACATTTATGTGCATGTGTCTTTATAATAGAATGATTTATAAACCTTTGTGTATATACCCAGTAATGGGATTGCTGGGTCAAATGGTATTTCTAGTTCTATATCTGTGAGGAATTGCCACAGATATATATCTGGAAACAACAGATGCTGGAGAGAATGTGGAGAAATAGGAGCACTTTTACACTGTTGGTGGGAGTGTAAATTAGTTCAACCATTGTGGAAGACAGTGTGGCGATTCCTCAAGGACCTAGAAATAGAAATTCCATTTGACCCAGCAATCCCATTACTGGGTATATATCCAAAGGATTATAAATCATTCTACTATAAGGACACATGCACATGAATGTTCACTGCAGCACTGTTTACAATAGCAAAGACCTGGAACCAACCCAAATGTCCATCTATGATAGACTGGACAGGGAAAATGTGGCACATCTACACCATGGAATACTACGCAGCCGTAAGAAACTGAGTTCGTGTCCTTTGTAGGGACATGGATGAACCTGGAAATCATCATTCTCAGCAAACTAACACAAGAACAGAAAATCAAATGCCACATGTTCTCACTCATAGAAGGATAAAGCATTCAAAGCACCATCCTGGAGAGAGAGACTGGATTCCTACACGACTACAAACCCATTAGAAATATATTTCTGTTTTTTATGAATTACTGATATCACATATTCTGTTAGAAAGTATAGCTCTATATAAGATTCTTTGTTGAAAGGCTTTTTGTGTTTTGTTTTTTTGAGATGTTTTGCTCTTGTTGCCCAGGCTGGAGTGCAATGGCATGATCTCGGCTCACAGCAACCTCCACCTACCTGGTTCCAGTGATTCTCCTGCCTCAGCCTCCCAAGTAATTGGGATTATAGGTATGTGCCACCACACCCTGCTAATTTTGTATTTTTAGTAGAGATGGGGTTTCTCCAAGTTGGTCTCACTGATCTCGAACTCCTGACCTCTGGCAAACCACCCACCTAGCTCTCCCAAAGTGCTGGGATTACAGGTATGAGCCATCACGCCCTGACTAAAGTCTTTATTTCAGAACTTTGAACATATTACGACACTGTCTTTCATAATTTCTAATGAGAAGTCAGCCACTGATTTGCTGAAGATCCCTTCTCAATGGTGAGATGCCTGTGTCATGCTGCTTTCAAAGTTTTGTATCTTTCAATCATTTGATTATGATGTTTTTACGGTTTATCTCTGAATTTTTCCAATTTGGAGTTTATTGAATTTCTTAAATTAAAAAAAAAAAATTAGCAGGGCATGGTGATGCATGCCTATAATCCCAGCTACTTAGGAGACCGAGACATGAAAATCCTTTGAACCTGGGGGGCAGAGGTTGCAGTGGGCCAAAATTGAGCCCTTGCACCCTAGCCTGGGCAACAGAGCAAGACCCTGTCTCAAAAACAAAAAAACAAATTAAAAGTAAGAATTTTTAAAAGTATACTTACTTTGTTTTCCCACTAGAATGTCAGTTCGAGGTGGGCTGCTGTATCCTCAGTACATAAAACAATGCACAGGTGCTGAACAAATACTTGTCATCCACTGTAGGAAAAAAAAATCAAATCATATAAAAAGTATATTGTCTTCACTTCCATCAGTTCAAAAGTTTAGTGCATGGTTTTAGAAGAAAATGTACACGCATATAGGTTTTTAAAAAATATTTTGACAGATTTAAATAGATAATACTGTACATAGAGTTCTCTTTGTGTAGTTAATAATATATCATCTGGGTTCATTCTGATTTTTTTTTTAAGTTTTGGTTTTGAAATGGGGTCACACTCTGTCCCCCAGGCTGGAGTACAGTAGTATGATCATAGCTCACTACAGCCTCACGCTCCTGGGCTCGAGCAATCCTCCTGCTTTAGCTTCCCAAGTAGCTGGGACTGCAGGTGCACTGCTGCCATACCAGGCTTGCCTCATTTGTGCTCATGATGGATGCTTGTCTGGCATGTGGATGTGCCCTGCTGGCATTATCTTTCTCCCATTCATTGCGAAAACAGGTTTCTCCCTGTTTTTTACTATCATGATCCATGCTACAATGAGTGTCCTGATGCCTGTACTGGGGTATGGGTCTATCCCTGCCTAGCTGGCTTTGAAAAGTTTAAAGACAACAGTGCAGGCCAGGCACAGTTGCTCACACCTGTAATGCTAGCACTGTGGGAGGCAGAGGTGGGAGTGGATCGCCTGACCAAAATGATGAAACCTGGTCTCTTCTAAAAACAAAATTAGCTAGGTGTGGTGGCTCATGTCTGTAATTGCAGCTACTCAGGAGGCTGAGGCAGGAGAATCACTAGAACCCAGAAGGTGGAAGTTGCAGTAAGCTGAGATCACGCCATTGCACTCTAGCCTGGGCAACAAGAGTGAAACTGCATCTCAAAAAAAAAAAAAAAGACAGTGCAACTTACCATTTTGCAAAGCTGGCCCCATATCAGGAGACCATATAGAGAGGGACTATAGAAATTCCCTTTAAAGCACAGTTAAAAACAATTAATGGTGAAGGATGACTTCAGATGATGCCCCATGTCTTTTCTTTTTATTAACTGTGTCATTCTTTTTGTAATGTTGTGCTCATTACAAGTATTCCTTTTTGGTCAGGTTGACAAATTTTTCTGTGAAGCAGCATTTAACATTTTTATAAATAAGAAACTTATCTGTTAAACTACCACCTGCTTCATGTTAGCTGAATTGCAGGTGGAATGTTTAAGGAAGTTCTAGTCTTTTCAGCATTTGTGAAAGCGTGCTCATGTTGACACTGAATTTTCTTAGTCTTACCTTAAATCTCTCAGAGTCTGGACCTGCAGGAGAGATGGTGTTCAAATTCAAGCCTGCATCAGAATCACCTGGATAGCTTAATATATTTGGTTGGTTGACTGATTGATTGAGATGGACTCTCACTCTGTCTCCCAGGCTGGAGTGCCATGGCATGATCTTGGCTCACTTCATCCTCTGCCTCCTGGGTTCAAGTGATTTTTCTACCTCAGCATTAGAGTAGCTGGAATTACAGGCATGCAACACCACACCTGGCTAATTTTAAAAATATTTTTAGTAGAGATGGCCGATAGCTTGTTACTATAAATCAGCTTTCTGGGCCCCACTCAGATTTTCAGTTTAGTAGTCTTGGAGGGGCCTGAGTATCTGCATTCCTAACCTGCCTTGGCCTCCCAAAGTGCTATTACAAGGGTGAGCTGCAACCATCCTTTTCTTTTTTTTTTTTTTTTTTTGAGATGGAGTCTCACTCTGTCACCCAGGCTGGAGTGCAGTGGTGCCATCTCATCTCACTACAACCTCTGCCTCCCAGTTTCAAGTGATTCTTGTGCCTCAGCCTCCTGAGTAGCTGGGATTACAAGTGCACACCACCATACCTGGCTAATTTTTGTATTTTCAGTAGAGATGGGGTTTCACCAATGTTAGCCAGGCCAGTCTTAATCTGCCTTCAGATGATTCACCCACCTCGACCTCCCAAAGTGCTGAGATTACAGGCATGAGCCACTGTGCCCAACCAATAGTTCGTTCTTGTACATAACTTAGTATTCAGTTATGCAGATGCACATAATGGGTAAATCAGTCTGCTCACTTGCTAAGAGATGTCTGGCTTACCTCCAGTTTGGGTTATCACAAACAAAGCAGCTAAGAACGTTCCTGTATCAGTCTTTTATAAACATATGTTCTCGGCTCTCTTGGGTGGCTGTCTGGGAAGGGAGCAGCTGGCTGTATGGTCACTATGGCTTTTTTTTTTTTTAAGTTGTACAAACTCTTCCAGAGTCACAGAAGCATTTTATAGTCATGCCAGCAGAAACCACAATCTGAAATGGCCCTAAGCTCTAAGAGGCCATACACAAAAAAAGAGGACATAAAACTATTACACACAAACCAATGAAGCATTGGGCTTTCAAACCCAAAGGCAGAAGCAGGGAGATCGCTCACACCTGCATTTTTCTTTTTTGAGATGGACTCTCACTCTGTCCCCCAGTCTGGAGTGCAGTGGTGCAATCTCAGCTCACTGCAATCTCTCCTTCCGAGGTTCAAGCAATTCTCATGCCTCAGTCTCCCAGGTAGCTGGGATTACAGGCAAGTACGACCACACCCAGCTAATTTTTGTATTTGTAGTAAAGACAGAGTTTCACCATGTTGGCCAGGCTGGTCTCGAACTCATGACCTTATCCCACCTCCACCTTCCAAAGTGCTTTGATTACAGGCATGAGCCACCTTACCCCAGCACACCTGACTTTTGAGAGGAAGTCACTCGGAGTGAAGAAATGTTGTAAAGGGGTCCAAGAAGCCATGCAGACCCCCAAGCCCAGGCCTCCCCCACCTGGGTCCCTGAGCCTAGGAAACCCAGCAACCCAGAGCTGCACAGGCTGCATTCCCTTCTCTGGTTAACTAAAGGGGTCTGTGTGTAAAGGGCCACACCAGGAAATTCCAGCCTAGGACAGGATTGTTCTTGTCACTGTCTCCAGTTCCACAGGGGTTATAGGTACCAGATCTGGCTTATGCCTCTGGGAATTAAGCAAGTGATCCATCTGTCAATGTTCCTAGGAAATGATGCCCTAGCTCCCAAGCTGAGCATCCCTAAACACCAGGGAACACACAGAGCCAGCCCCCTTTCAGATGGCCCACTTTCAAGCCCAGAGAGCCAGTTCTCACCACACCCTCCCTGGCAAGATGGAAGTGTAGAGATGAATAAATACAACTTGTACAACTAAAACCTGCCCAGCATTTACTTAGGACCAGGGCACAGCTTATTCTGACATTTATCTCACTGAATTTTCAGAAAATGCTCTGGGTAATAAATGGATGCTCATACCTGTAATCTCAGCACTTTGGGAGGCCAAGTTAGGTGGATTGCTTGAGCTCAGGAGCTCAAGAACAACCTGGGCAACATGGCAAGATACCATCTCTACAAAAACAAATTAGCCAGGTGTGGCGATGTGTGCCCACAGACCCAGCTACTAGTGAGGCTGAAGCAGGAGCATAACTCCAGCCTAGGCGATGAAGGCTGCAGTGAGCTGAGATGGCACCACTGCACTCCAGCCTGGACAAGAGTGAGACCCTGTGTCAAAATAATAGAGGCTCCCAGTGAGGCATGAAGAAACTTGATGGACAGGCCTTGAGGTGCCCACCCAGGTCTCCCTGCCTTCACTCTCATCGCTAATATCCACCTTCCCCAGGGCAGCCTGGGTTGTTATAAACCAGAACTCAGCTGTGTATGGTGGCTCATACCTGTAATCCCAGCTACTTGGGAGGCTGAGGCAGGAGGATCTCTAAAAGCCATGAATTGGAGACCAGCCTGGGCAACATAGTGAGACCTGTCTCTATTAAAAATAAATAAAAGGCCAGGCACAGTGGCTCACATCTATAATCCAAGCACTTTGGGAGGCTGAGGCAGGCGGATCCCCTGAGGTTGGCAGTTTGAGACCAGCCTGACCGACATGGAGAAACCCTGTCTCTACTCAAAATACAAAAATAGCCAGGTGTGGTGGTACATGCCTACAATCCCAGCTACTAGGGAGGCTGAGGCAGGAGAATCACATGAACCCAGGAGGCAGAGGTTGTGGTGAGCCAAGATTGCACCATTGCACTCCAGCCTGGGTGACAAGAGTGAAACTGTCTCAAAAAATATATATGTATAAAATAATAAGTCAGGCATGCTAGTGCATGCCTGTAATCCCAGCTACTTGGGAGGCTGAGGAATGAGAATAGCTTGAACCCAGGCAGTGGAGGTTGCAGTGAGCTGAGATGATACCACTGCACTCCAACCAGGTGACAGAGCAACACTTCATCTCAAAAAAAAAAAATATATATGTGTTTTGTTCTACTTCCTGAACCCTCAGGGACTAAACATTACTAAGTAGAAAAACAGCAGTAAGTTTCACCTGCTCAGTGAATTAAGAGCCAGGTCAGTGAAGGAGCTTCTTAATTCAAACTCCGTCCCCCTCCTGAGGCTCTGCCTCTCCCATGGTGTCTCCAATCTGCTCACCTGGCAAGCTCCAGTTGACACAAAGGTGGGCATCCTTCTTCCATGAAAGGAAGCCAAGCCAGGCAATCAGCAGAGGTGTTGATGATGAGGAATGCTGAAATCCATGTTACAAATGCCTTCATAGCAGGGAGAACACTGCAGGTGAGGCTGAAGGAATCCAGGTGATAGGTGACACTAGGGGTCAACCTGACAGGGTTAAGGGATACGCGGATGGCTGGTCAAGTGTTATTTCTGAGTGTGTGCCAGACGAGACTGGCATTCGAATCAGTGGACTCAATAAGGAGGATCCATCCTCACCCCATGTTCCTGGGCACCACCCAATCAGCAGAGGGTCCAGACACAAGAAAAAGTCAGAAAAATGGTAAATTCATGTGATTTCTCTTCTGCAGCCAGGATGTCATCCTTTCCTGCCCCTGGAAATCAGAACTCCAGAACTGGCCTCTGGGACTTACCTGAGTCATTCCAGGTTCTCAGGCCTTTAGTTGTGGACTTGAGAATTCCATCATCAGCTTCCCTGGGTCTGAGATCTTCAAACTTGCCTGAGCCTGCTACCAACTTCTCGGGTCTCCAGCTTGCAGATGGCCTAGCATAGGACTTCTCCATAATCACATGATCCAGTTTCCCTAGTAAATCCCCTCTCACCCTCAATCCATCATCCACTCATCCATCATCTATCAATCATCCATCTATCATCTATCCATCCACCTATCATGTATCCATCCACTATCTATCCAACTATCATCTACCTATCATCTACCAATCTATCATTTATCACTCCAACCATCCATCCATCCTACTAGTTCTGTCTCCATGTAATAAACAGGGACCCCACCTCTGCCTGTCAACGACCTTCAACTGGGTCATGGACACGGGCCATTTCCGTACAATGCTTAGCCATGGAGACCCAAGCTCTGTCTACCATGAGACAATTTCTCCCATCACCTGGACCACCCAAACAGCCTGCTACCAGGGTCACAAGGTCCTATGCTGATGTCCTAGTGGCTGGCACCATGGATGTCCCAGATTTCCATCCACCATCTGGGTCTGACTGAAGGCCTGTATACTGGGCATCCCTGGAATAGAATGAGAAACTGAACGTGGGTCTGGGGTTTTTCTCTGTAAGGCCAACTCGTCTGCACCAGGCTGGCCTTGTCACAGCTTACCATAGTAAGCTTACCCCAGAACAGGCAATAGAAACAAAAACAGCCACCCTACTGCCCCCATGGCCATAATCCACTGCCCCCAGGTCACTTGTAATTTCACGTTCCAGCTCATCCCGACTTGGGATGCGTCTTACATCCTTGTTTAATTGGCAGTTGCTTTTCTTTCTTACTATTACACATAATAACGTATCACACAACTTATGGTGTCTCAGATTTGAAGAGTTAGGGTATGTGCAGTGGAGACCCTGACCTAATTCCCAAAAGAATGACAGAGGTGGCACAGTGGGGCATGCCTTACATAGGGGGTAGAGTCTAAAATCCAGTACAGCCGAAATCACCTGCAAATGGGGCTTCTTTGGCTAAACAAATGTACATGGTGAGCTGGACATGTTCTGTGTTGGACAGAAACACTTCAAACAGCAGGAACACAGGTTGAGGGGTGGAAAAAAAGGCTGACATGACAAAGCATTAGCAATCATGAAATCTGGGTGATAAGCTTATTGAGCTTTATTATATTAGTCGTTCTATGTGACTGTACCCAGGATGGAATACAGTGGCACAATCTCGGCTCACATAAGTGCCACCTCCTGGGTTCAAGTAATTCTCCTGCCTCAACCTCCCAGGTAGCTGGGATTACAGGCACCTACCACCACGCCTGGCTCATTTTTGTATTTTTAGTGGAGACAGGGTTTCACCACACAGGCCAGGCTGGTCTCACACTCCTGATCTCAGATAATCCACCCACCTTGGCCTCCCAAAGTGCTAACATTACAAGTGTGAGCCACCACACTCAGCCAACTGAACATTTTTATAATAAAAAGTTAAACACTTTCATTTTTTGTTTTAAAATAATTTCAAACTTTAGAAAAATTACTCAAATCATACTAAGAATTCGTTCAACTCACCACTATTAACACATTGTCAAGTTTACAGTCTCCATACACACACACGCGCGCGCACGCACATGCACATGCACGCAAACACATCATCTCATCATCATTTTCTAAACCATTCAGACAGTTAAAGGCCTAGCACTGAAACTGCAGTGGCTCACACCTGCAATCCCAGCACCTTGGGAGGTTAAGGTGGGTGGATCACCTGAGGTCAGGAGTTTGAGACCACCCTGGTACACATGGTGAAAACCCATGTCTACTAAAAATACAAAAATTTGCCAGGCATGGTGGTGCATGCCTGTAATCCCAAATACTCAGGAGGCTGAGACAGGAGAATCACTTAAACCCAGGAGGCAAAGGCTGCAGACCACGCCACGGCACTCCAGCCTGGACAACAGAGCAAGACTCTGTCCCCAAAAAAAAGGTAAGATGTAGGCTCTACATATCTTTACCCCCCCCAAAACTAGGGGTATCCCCTTACAATCCAGGACATGCTCTTATGTAAGTAGAGCACAATTTTCCAAAACAAGAATGAATGTTATTAGCATGTATCTGATGTCCTGCAGTCATATACAAATTACATCAGCTGTCCCGGTGACGCTCTTTAATAGTAATTCGAAAAAATTATTTAAAACATCTAATCTTGGCCGAGCGCAGTGGCTCACCCCGATAATCCCAGCACTTTGGGAGGCCGAGGAGGGTGGATTACAAGGTCAAGAGATCGAGACCATCCTGGTCAACATGGTGAAACCCCGTCTCTACTAAAAATACAAAAATTAGCTGGGCATGGTGGCGCGTGCCTGAAGTCCCAGCTACTCGGGAGGCTGAGGCTGGAGAACTGCTTGAACCCAGGAGGCAGAGGTTGCAGTGAGCCGAGATCACACCATTGCACTCCAGCCTGGGTAACGAGAGGGAAACTCTGTCTCAAAAAAAAAAAAAAATTTAAAACATCTAATCTTTTAAAAGGATGTTTGTAAAAAGTTCATAAAGAGAAGAATGAGACTGGGCATGGTGGCTCACTCCTATAATACCAGTACTCTGGGAGGCTGAGGCGGAAGAATCACTTGAGCTCAAGAGTTGAAGACCAGCCTGGGCAACATGGTGAAACCCCGTCTCTGCAAAAAATACAAAAATCTGTTGGGCATGGTGGAGCATGCCTATAGTCAGTTACTCGGGAGGCTGAGGCAGGAGCATCACCTGAACCCAGCAGATCAAGACTGCAGTGAACTACAATTGTGCCACTGCACTCCAGCCTCAGCTACAGAGTGAAAGCCTGTCTCCAAAAAGCCAAAAAGAACATGCATATTAGATGCAAAAGCCAAAACGATGATGTATATTAGATGATTATTTGAAAGAAAGATTATTCAAATAACCCCCAATAAAATGTTGACAATGGGCAGAAAAAGATGTACAAAAAAAAATCACAAGGTGGCTGGGCATGGTGGCTCACACCTGTAATCTCAGCACTTTGGGAGGCCAATGTAGGTGGATCACCTGAGGTCAGGAGTTCAAGACCAGCCTGGCCAACATGGCAAAACCCTGTCGCTACTAAAAATACAAAAATTAGCCAGGCATGATGGTGCATGCCTGTAATCCTAGCTACCTAGGAGACTGAAGCAAGAGAATTGCTTAAACCCAGGAGGCAGAGGTTGTAGTAAGCTGAGATCGCACCACTGCACTCCAGCCTGGGAGACAGAGTGAGACTCCATCTCAAAAAGAAAAGAAGACCAGAAGCAGGTATGCTAAAATTGTGAAAGTGGTTGCCACTGGGTGTTTCCTTACTACTGATTTGCACATGTGTTTTTTAACCCATGTTTCCTATGATGAGACAGTATTATTTTTCTAAGGAGTGGGGGATGGGAGGGGAACAATGTCAATAATAACTATACCTAATATTTTAAAAAGCCAAATCTGTCAGGTTGAACATGATGTCTATGCAAGAAATTAAATACATACATACATACAAACACACATACCAAATCTGAAGCTAAAGCAAGAGCAGTCCAGTACATGGCTGTCCCAGGCCAAGCCTTCTGCAGATACTTAAGCTGCTCATGGCTCATGTCTTTACCACATTCAAGGTGATGGACTTGGGGGACAGAGTTGGTGTCTCTGAGACAACATGGCCAGCACAGGCAGATTCAAGACAACTCTGCAGAAGAGTAAAGGAGAGAGGTCAAGCAGGGAGCTCAGCATGTTCATTCATTCATTCATTCATTTTATTCATTCATTCCCCACCACCTCCCTGAGGTCTCAGGGGCCCAGCCTTACCCTGTGATCCAGGAGAAGGTGATCCTGGACTCTGGGCAAGGATTCTTGTGGAAGGAAAGAACAGGTCAGGGAGGAAGAAGGAAAGTAACAATTCAACTTTTCATCTAGGCCAGAGCTTGGCAAGGAGTAGTCAGCTGTCCATTCTTCCTTCAAGAGGACCAGTGTCCACTTCATACCATTCTGCACCCCAAAAGGATTCTCTCCTAAGCCCCAGGAGAAAGCAACTCAGAGCACCTCCTCTCATTTCACTCAACAGAGTGCTTACCAGGTGCAACCACAATACAACAAGCTATCAACCTGCCTTATCGTCTATCCCTGCAGCAACCCTAGGAGCTGGTGTGACCATCATTCCCACTTCACTCATTCATTCAACAAATATTTTCTGAGCACCTCCTATGTGCTAGGCACTCCATAAGGTACTACAGGGTTACCTCAGATCCCCATGACAACGTCCTAAGCTGGTATTACTATTGTCCTCATTTTCCTCATTCAGGCATTGAATATTTATTGACACCTACTCTGAGCTAGACATGCTACCAAGAACTTATATACTTGCATTATTTTATATCCTCATGGAATTCTATAAACCTAGTATTACTATTATCTCCACTTCATTCATTCATCCAATGAATATTTCCTGAGCACCATCCATGTGCCAAGCACCCTGCACACAAATCTAAACAAACAGCAATGACCACTGCCTGTATGGAGTTTGTGGTCCACTGCAGTAATCATCAGTAATACCTGCCAAGATTCTCTACTATTAATAGCTAGCTCTGTTCTAAGTGCTTTACACAAATTACCCTATCTAATCTTCATCCCCAACTCACAAGGTAGGTGAAAGTATTATATCATCCCTGTTTTGCAGTTGAAAGAAACTTGGGACCAGAGAGGAAATGATTTGTTCAAGGTCCCACAGCTAAAAGCGGTGGAGGCAGGGCGTGAGCCCCAAAGAGTCATGCTTCAGAGAGACATGTGTCAAATGATCACACAAACAAATGCAAAACAGCAACTTCTGAGCCTTGATGTGTGTCCTGAAGGTAGAGAAATATTGCCAATGAGACAAAGTCAGCACATGGGGGCTGCTCTGGTGTACCAGGGTCAGAGAAGCTCCCCCGAGGAAGACAGTCAAGCTGGCACCTGAAAGATGAGTAGAGGAGAACGAAGTAACAAGGAAAGGAAAGGCATTCCCAGCAGACAGCAGCGTGTGCAAAGGCCTGGTGGTAGAAGGAAGCACGGCAGACTTCAGGAACCAAGGGGGGCCTGAGCAGTCTACACTGAAGGCCACATATTTTGGTATTCATTCTAAGGGCAAGGGAAAGTACTGAGAGACTCTAAGCAAGCTATCAAATAACTTATTTCCCAGAGGCACGAAGATGAGCCCCAACTAAACATACAGGCAAGGAAAGGGACCGACACAGAGTCCTGGGATGACAGACCAAGCCTGGCTTTCAACACAGATGCATTCGGGTCAAAATTCTGAAACACAAACTTTAAGCAGGAGAGGAAGAAAGGTCACCACGTAGCAATGAGAGCTTTAGCCAAGGACTCCACTCAAAGTCCCAGCCTTGTGCAGAGATAAGCCATTTACAGAGCCCAATAAGGCAGCATACTCAAGTGGTTTTCCATCCAAGGCTGGGAGTGCTTTTAAAAAAAATACTGTATCCTGGTGAAGTGTGGTGGTTCACACCTGTAATCTGAGCACTTTGGGAGACCAAGGTGGGCAGATCACTTGAGGTCAGAGTTGGAGACCAGCCTATCCAACATGGCAAAACCCTGTTTCTACTAAAAATACAAAAATTAGCTGAGAATGGTGGCTCACAACTGTAGTCCCAGCTACTCAGGAGGCTGAGGCAGGAGAATCACTGGAACCCAGGAGGCAGAGTTGGCAGTGAACTGAGATCCCATCACTGCACTCCACTCTGGGGACCCTGTCTGTATCCAGGCCCTATACCACCAGGGATTCTGATTAAGCTGGTTTGGGGTCCAACTGGGGCCCTGAAACTTTGTTTTTAACATTCACATTCTTTTGGAAAAGTAGCTTGGCAGGATAAGCCAAGAACATTTTGTCACAATGGACAAACAAGGAAACTAACAGGACTGTTACAAGGCCCAGGAGCCAAACAGAAGTGGCACTGCAGGCTAAAAAAGGGACAATTTGAGCTTGAACAAGAGAGTGAAGTGCAATGGGCTGAAACATACCATGTATTTTGATTTGCTTGTTTCTTTGAGACAAAGTCTTGCTATGTCTCCCAGGCTGGAGCACAGTGGTGTGATCTTGGCTCACTGCAACCTCCATCTCCTGGGTTCAAGTGATCCTCCTGCCTCGGCCTCCCAGGTAGCTGGGATTACAACCATAAGCCAGGACACTGTGCTAATTTTTGTATTTTTAGTAGAGACAGTGTTTCACCCCGTTGGTAACCAGGATGGTCTCAAGTGATCCACCCACCTCAGTTTCCCAAAGTGCTTGGATTACAGAAATGAGCCACCATGCCTGGCCAAAAACCTCCAATTTTACTTAAGGTTTTAATGATTAATCTCACGTTATAATGTGAAAAGTAATGAGTCTCTAGCAGTCTTATCCCAAAACTGGGCTGATTATAAAGCACTACTTTGCTCAGTCCCATTTTCCTTCAAATCACCTATTTTGAGTAAATACACAAGTTTCATTTTCCACCCCTGTATAGGGGCGGTAAATACAACCAGGAAAGAAAAACACAATCAGCACCAGTGCAAATTCAAGGTTTCCAACCTGAGCATAAGCACTGCTTTGTAATTTTTTTTTTTACCCATCCCAGGTTACAGTTTCCTATTACCCCAAAATGAAATCTCAAATGTCCTCCATTCTGCATAAAACCCATGCTGGCCCCTCAGTGGAAAACATCAACCATGAATTATGGGTCTCTTCACTTTACCTTCACACCACCGATTTCTGTTGCACTGACTGTGCTTATCACCATGTATGTCTGGCATTAGACCGGACTCCTCAGGAAGAGGAACTCACATTCATTTCTCGGTCCCAAGGGCAAAACTCAAAAGTATAATTAAGGAAAAAAATAACCAATTCTTTCAAGTTCTGAATTCGTGGTCCTCTCAAAAATGGCAGTGTGTATTCAAGCTCTGCTTCTTTACCTGGTCCAGCTCTACTTTTGGGGGGGTCTTACAAAATAGGCGAGGAAGCAAAAAATGTCTAGAGATTACTCCCACATGGTAATCTTTGCAAACAAAACTCTTAGACCTAACTTTATACTAATAAAAATTTCACGATACTTTTTTTTTTTGAGACAAGGTCTTGCTCTGTCACCCAGGCTGGAGTACAATTACAGCTCCCTGCAACCTCATCCTCCTGAGCTCAAGCAATCCTACCTCAGCCTCCCAAGTGTTGGGGCCACAGGCACAAGCCACCATGTGTGGCTAATTTTTTGTAGAGATGGGGTTTCACCATGTTGCCCAGGCTGGTCTCAAACATCTGGGCTCACAGGATCTGTCTGTCTCAGCCTCCCAAAGTGCTGGGATGATAGGCATGAGCCACTGTGTCCAGCACCAATACCAGATTTTAATTGTGTGTTGAGGTGGCTGGATTGAAGAAGTGGGTACTCCATTCTCTTTAATTTCCCAGTCCTAAGGGGTTTTAAACACACTAATATTAAAGTTTAAATGTCCTAGAGCTGAAAGAGTTTAAAAACTTGACAGTCTCACAGTGATTTCAGAGATGAAAAGATTTTCAGAGATGAAAAGCATGATTTGCCAAATTTAAAACAGCAATAGAAGCAATAAGTAGCAGGTGAAATATAACCAAACAAAAATTAGTAACAAAAAAAAAATCAGTAACTGAATTATCCTACGACTTGAATCAAAAGGACAAAATAGCTTAACAAGATGAAAGAAAAAAATGTTAGAAATATGCAGATCAACTGCACCAATACTGTGCATAGAAAGAAAACAGAATTTTTTTTTTGATAAATTTATTGGGCATCGAGCGTCTAGTATACTACAGTCATGACACAATAGAGAATGAGAGGCATGGAATGTGTCTTCATAATCTCCACATTCTAGAACAAATGAAGCTGAAGTAGTAACCAAAGAAATCACTGAAGAAAACTATGCTTATGAAGAAAGGGGGCAGGAAGAGAAGGAAAGGAAAAAAACAAATGTATACATTTTATGTTTTAGCCAAATTTAAGCAAAGAGATTCTGATAGAATGTCAAAGATTTCAGAGATAAAGTATCCTTCAAGCATGGTGAGGATTTGGTGTCTAGGGTTATCAAGTTTTTAAAAACATCTGAATGGCAATGTTTTTAAACGAATAGCACATGTGGACAAGGATACGGTTAAATTGGCACTCCCATACACCTGAAGAGGGAACATAAATTGTTCCAGATGTAATTTAACTTTCCAGATGTAAATTTGACGATTCCACTTCATGTACAGCTTTGGAACCTTACTAAGGTTTCTACCAGGCATGGTAGCTCACACCTGCATTCCCAGCATTTTGGGAGGCTGAAGAAGGTGGATCACTTGAACTCCTGAGGTCAGGAGTTCAAGACCAGCCTGGCTAACATGGTGAAACTTCACCTCTACCAAAAATAGAAAAATTAGCTTGGTGTAGTGGCACATACCTGAAATCCTAGCTACTTGGGAGGCTGAGGCAGAATTGTTGAACCCAGGAGGCAGAGATTGCAGTGAGCAGGGATTGTGCCACCACACTCCAGCCTGGGCAACAAAACAATACTCTGTCAAATAAATGAATAAATAGAACCTGGGCAACAAAGTGATACTCTGTCAAATAAATAAATAAAGCCTTAGTAAGGTTTCTTATGCCCTTCCCATCCCCTTCCATTCTTTGTGCTATTGTCATACCTTTTACTCCCACATTATGAAACGTATAATGCACTATTATTTTTGCTTTAAACAACTATCTTTTTAAAGGTACTGTTTCTTTAATTCACAATGTTGCACAAGCATCACCACTAATTGCAGAACATTTTGCTCACACAAAAAGGGAAATCCTGTACCTATTAGCAATCACCTTCAATACAACAATCTTTAAAAGAGATTAAAAGAGAAAAAAATATTGTCTTATTTTACTTCCATAGTTACCATTTCTAGCACTTCTCAATCCTTTGTCATTTGCCTTCTGCCTGAACAACTTCAGTATTTCTTGTGGCTGTCTGCCAGCAGCAAGTTCCAGTAGGATTTTTTTTTTTTTTTTTTTTTTTGGAGACAGTCTCGCTCTGTCACCCAGGCTAAAGTGCAGTATGGCTCAATTATACCTCACTGCAGCCTCTGCCTCCGGGGCTAAAGCGATCCTCTCACCTCAGTCTCCCAAGGAGCTGGGACCACAGGTGTACCACCATGCCTGGCTGATTTTTGCATTCTTTGTAGAGATGGGGTTTTGCCATGTTACCCAGGCTAATTTCAAACTCCTGGACTCAAGCAATCCTCCTGCCTCAGCCTCCCAAACTGCTAAGATTGTAGGTGTTGACCATTGCACCCAGCCCCAGTGGGCTTTTTAAAAAGTACTTTAAAGATGTGTCTCCAAGACAGTTGCAGTGGCCCACACCTGTAATTCCAGCACTTTGGGAGCCCAAGGCAGGCAGATCACGAGGTCAGGAGTTTGAGACCAGCCTGGCCAACATACTGAAACCTCACCTCTATTAAAAATACAAAAATATTAACCAGGTGTGGTGGCATGCACCTGTAATCTCACCTACTCGGGAGGCTGAGGCAGGAGAATTGCTTGAATCTCCTAGGAGGTGGAGGTTGCAGTGAGCCAAAATCACAGCACAGCACTCCAGCCTGGGCAAGAATGACTCAGTCTCAGACAAAAAAAAAAAAAAATTAAAGAGGTCTCTCCATTGTACTTTGATTTGCTAAGTTTCTCGATGAGAAGTCTGCTGTCATTCTTGTCTGTTACTCTGTACATGATGTGTATTTTTTTCTCTGCCTGCTTTCAAGATTTTCTATTATTGATTGCCAACAACGTGATGATGATGTGCCTTCGTGTGGTTATCTTTATAGTTATTCTCCTTAGGATCCTTAAATGCGTAGACTTATAGTTTTCATTAAATTTGGAAATTTTCTGGTCATTATTTTTTGGAATCTTTTTTCTGTTCTCCCCTTTCCCTCTTTTCTGGGGCTCCCATTACATATATGTCAGACTTTCTATCTCTAACAATCGTCTTTGTTATAGTCATTGATGTTCTATCAATTTTTCCATTTTTCTTTCTGTTCTCATTTTGGACAGTTTCTATGGCTGTCTTGAAGTTCACAGAGATGCAGTGCCCTAACTACTGTTAATGCCACCATTGTACCTTAAAATTTCAAACTCTAGATGTTCTGTTGGGTCTTTTTAAAATATACCTTCTAGTTCTCTTCCCATTATGTTAACCATTTCCTCTACTTTTTTGAACCAAGAACAGATTTGTAATTGCTGTTTTCATGTCTTTGTTAATTCCACCATCTCTGTCATTTCTGGATCTAGTTGATTTTTCTCCTGATTATGTCATATTTTCCTGGTTTTCTGCATGCCTGGTCATTTTATCGAATGCCTAACATTGTGAGTTTTCTGTTTTAGATTTTGTGTATTTCCTTAAATAGCAGTGGACTTTGTTCTCACACACAGGTAAGATTCTTTAAATCGGCTGGATCTTCCAAGACTTGCTTTTTCATTGTTAGAGTAGGCCCAGAGTACCCTTCAGCTTAGGGCTAATGTAGCCTCATTACAAAAGGCCATGCCCTTTTGATATCCTTGTATATACTCTAGCTAATGGCAACACAGACCACTCCCCGCTCTGTGTGAGTTCCAGGAATCATTTGGCCTGCTCCTTTCCAGTGAGGTTCTTTCTCTGGCCTCAGGTGCTCTCCTCTCATGCATGTGTAAGTCAGGACTCAGCCTGACTTCAGGAGACTCCTCCACCTGCCTCTGGAGTTCTGTGCACAACTCCGACATCTCTGGTACTCTGCCCCACAAATTATGACAATCTTCCCTCCCCATGAATCCCCATCTTGTCCTCTCAATTCAGTAAGACACCAGGCTTTAATTTGGGCTCCCCATCCCTGCTCTGCACCCTGAAAACTATCTCCAGATAATAAACTGGAGCAACCATAGAACCCAGCAGGTTTGCTTCCCACCTTTCAAGGACCACAGTCCTGTGTTGCCTGTTACCCAGTGCCTACAAATTGCTATTTCATATATTGTCCAGCTTTCTAATTGCTTAAAATAGTAAGGTAAATCCATTCCTTATTATTCCATCACTGCTGGACAATATGTATTCAAGTATACACTCACGTAACAGTTTCTCAATTTTGTATCTTGTTGTTGCTGTTTTGAGACAAGGTCTCACTCTCACCCAAGCTGGAGTGCAGTGGCTCATAACTCACTGCAGCCTCAAACTCCTGGGCTCCAGGCAACCTTCCACCTAGATCCCCCAAAGTGCTGGGATTACAAGCATGTGTGTGCCTTTACACCCTCAATATAGTATCTCAAGAACTGGTCTTCATCAAACTCTATCTCTTTAAAACACCAAACAATACTTTTCTTCCTTTTATCTTGGAATTTGCTCTGCTTTTCTTAGTTTGACACTGAACTCTTAATTCTCCTACCTCTTTGATTATGATTTCTGATTCTTGAATCCTGAAAGTTTTAGGAAAGTTTAGCCAAGTTTCCAAAATCCTATTCTTGCCACGTTTTCTTCTACATCTATGTAGGACTTCACCCTGTGAAATTTCAACAAGTCTCACAAATTCTTTCATGACCTCTTTTGGGGCTCTTAACAGAAGTAACTATGTGACTGGCCTTGGACTTCTTCATTCATAGAGGGGAAAAAAGTGAATAAAGAAATAGTGGTTTTAATAAAGAAATAGGTGAAAATATAATTTCTACATTTTAAAGAGAGAGAGAGAGTGTGTGTGTGTGTGTGATTTTCCTTTGAGCAGAGTCTTGCTCTGCCACCCAGGCAGTTCAGTGTGGGGATCGCTCCTGCAAAGGGCCCTTGACAGGACCCTCGCCATCTTGAGCTTGAGCCCGTACAGGTTTCTCCTCTCCTGGAGGCTGTTGAGCTAAGGGAAGGGAAGGAAGTCTAGTTGCACTGATTTTATAAACATCAATCTTTGCCTCTGACATCTGCAACAGAATGGCTGAGCTCAAGCCTTGTGGTCTAATGAGACATTGTATGGGTAGACATTGTGTGCCTCCTCGTTCCTTCTCTGCATAATAACTGTATGACTTCATTTACCTCTGCTAACTCAATCATATTGTTTGCATATGATCCTGTATGAATAGGCAAGGTTAGAATGACATTTAGAAAGGTCCAGCTATACCTTGTTAACAATCTTACTTGCTTGCTTAACTGATTTTAGAAAAACATGTTTAGATTTATGATCCCCTTTTTGCAAGCTTTATTGTCCCTTTGCTGTACACCCTTTGATTAAGAGTCATACTTTCTGTACCCCTTTTCTTGTGATTTTTGTTCTTGATTTTATTTCAAGATACAATGGAATGTACGTCACTTCTCAAACACTGAAAAGTATATAACCTGTAGTTTGCACAAATAAACTGGCTGTCTTGGCACTTCTTGCTCTGGCATTGCCTGGCAGTCCTCCAGACCCCGCTCTCTATCTATCTTTTCTTCCGTGCACTCCCTCTTCCAGGTTAAGAACACTTGAGTGAAGCTGAGGCTCTCTGCTGGTCGGAAGCCCCCCGGCAGACGTGCCGGACCCCCACATCTGGCGCCCAACGTGGGGCCCTGGACACGAGGGATCACAGTGATGCTCAAGTTATTAAGGTGAGGCTGCAGCAGTAAGTTTGGCTTTTCTCGTAAGTAAGCTCTCTACTTTTGATTTTGTATAATATTAATCAAATTTTTTCTCTCTTTGTTGTACATACAAGTCAAAGTAAACAGAATTTCTCAGTTTCATCTGGAGTAAAATATGGGGCATATAGAATCTAAGGAATGTAACTTGTTTATACAATTATTGCAAAAAATGATTAAGTCACATGGACATGATATTAAGCTAAAAACTGTGGAGGAATTTGTGCACATTATTCGTGAAATTTGCCCATGGGTTCCAGAAGGAGGAATATTGGGGGAAACTGCATGGCATGAAATTGGTGAGAAAATTGAACAATATGCCTCTCATAATGAAGCTTTACCTCAAACCGAGGTTTTACTTTCTGTTTTGTCTAAACTTAAAGACAGTGTCTGCTCCTCTCAAGCGAAACCTGCTCGCCCTTGCTCTCACAATGCTATTTCTTCCCCTGCTGCTGCCTTCTCCCCTCCTGCTTCTAAACTTGATCCTCTCGATCAAATGGAGCGTGGTATTAACCATTCTTCTTCTAGACATTCACTCATGGATAGCTGCCAACTTGTGACAGAGGCTGTTTTAAAAGAGCCCGACAGGTATGTCTCCCCACCTAACACCCCTTGCCGTGATCATAACCCAGTAACTCTTACCCTTCCCTCAGACCTCTCTGATCAAATCAGAGACTTACTTTCTCTTTGCTCTAAAGCACTCACCTTGCAACAACAACACTGCTTTCCTGTTGCTCAAGCACCGTCTTCTGTACCTTCTAATTCTTTGGTTATTAGATCCACTCCCACTGCTCCCATTTCCCCCTTAACACAAGCCATGATGTCCATGCATAAAGGTTTTGTCGACGCTGATAGCACGTCATTATATCCTCTTATAGAAGTTACTGATAATGCAGGCAA